AAAACATTAACTTTGGTCATAACATTCAAACGGTTAGGGCTTGGGCTTTCATACTTCACATATATAATCCTTGTAACAAGACCATCCATTAGATACCAACACTTTCACCCTTTGACCTTGACCTTGGAGTTTGATTTACTTTTAAAGAACTTTTAACTTTGGCCATAACTTTTGAACAGGTGGTGCTAGGGCTTTCATATTTCACAAGTGTATTTCTTGTGAGAAGACCTTACTTTGGATATACCAACATATTTGATTTGCATTTGAGAAAGTTTAACATTTGCTATAAGTTGCCATACGGGGGAATTGGTGTTTCACAAACACATCTTGTTTATAATTTACTTTCTTCAAAGTCCCCAGATTTTGCCTCTCAAAACGTTACAAAATGTATATTACTCTCTCTCTCTCTCTCTCTGTTTTTTTTAATGCATTAATATGGTATCAAGTCGACATCCACATGAACTCATTAATATTACCTTGCTTCAAAATCCAAAAAAATGCACATTTAGAAAACTTGTTCTATACACCAAGCAGCGTACCATAAGGTAAATGTACTGAAAATAATTCCATGTGTTAAGTAGTGAAATAACCAAAAAAAAAAAAAAAAACAAAACAAAAAAAACAAAACAAAAAAACAAAAGCAAAACAGAAAGCTGCATAACATTTCATTCAGATGTATTTGCATAATGATTGTGGAATCAACAGTTTTGATGAGACAGCAGCCTATTACATTGAAAGCAACAATACCAAAACAAAACACAGGGTGGGGCACAATGAATCCTACTTATCTGTCGGTGTTCTTCCAAGGTCGTTTATCATACTGTAACGTATTTTGTGGTTTGACCACGAATGAAGTACATGTAGATATACCTGTATATGATTTTCCTTCATTACTTGACGTATTCGAGTGATTGATATTAAATAAAATAACAGAACGCAATCAAAAATAATTAACAACTCAATGATTCACACTGATCTGCTATATTTATGTATTTTTCTTATTTTTTAATCTCCCTGTGTTTCGATTCTGGTCTGAAACTATGTTTGAGCCTTAGCTCCCAGACCTGCTTCTAAACACTGGGTTTCAAACAACCTTTTGTAATACCGGTATATTCCTTTATAAACAGAGGAATTTATTACACCTAAATGGTCTCTGCAGTTATTTGAGACACTGCAAACGAATAATGACAAATACCTTACTGTGAGACACCTCTTCCCTCTAGGACTGCCTCTCATCAACAGAATTCAGGGCCTTGAATGAGATTGCTTTACATGTATATTTGTTTTCCTAAATCTGCTAAGTCAAATTTAGATCTTATTAGCGTTTGGAACATTGTCCGAACACAGAAGATAACATATGATTGACAAGACTAGTTTAAGCTTGAATATATAATTAACTTTAACTTTCACTACAACTACCCATGCCTAAAACATGCATCCCTCATATAGATAAGTTAAATTTATGATCATGTAATTGCTTGCTTATACAATCATGTAATTCATTAATTCAACACAAAAGAATAGGTTTCAGACACATTATCTACCTTTTTTTTCTTGTGTTATTATTTTTTTAAAGTGTTATCGGCCACTCTTCTTTTAAGCATCTTTATCAGTGATTTATTCTTCTTCGACGACCTCCTCAATCTTATTGTCACCCCTGCGAAATTTCTTTTTCTTGACAGGGTTTCGCAAACTGCTGCCTGCTACTTCAAATTCGAGTGCTATTGGACGAATATGTCTGAAGCTAAAATCGGTTCACTGACATATCCTTCTCAGGCATGGTGACAGATGTCTTTCTCTGTGGAGGGAATACAGGGATCGCTGCTGTGGGTATCTTCACTATTCTACCTCCCTCCAAAATACTGTTATGTTTTCCTCCTCCTTTTTTCTTTCATTTACTCAATTTTAGTCAATTTATGATGCTGGAGGTCGTCCACTTTCTCCAGATGGGCTTCCTTGACCCAATACTTCATCCTCCCCACTGTTACTAGTACTTTCAACCAGTCTAAGTGTCACATAGTAAATTTTACAAAATTAATTTACAATGTTACACAATTTGATTTTATAAAAAGAATCATTTTAATTACTTACTTTTTCACATATGCTTAAAATTATCTATCTAACAATTAATGTTTAGACAGTAAAAAGGAAATTGTCACTCAATATCTATTTAAGGAACTAGTGTCAATCCTTTGCCTCAGAGTGTCCGACTCGTATGTGTGATAATTGCGTAAATGTGTTAATTGAAGTTTGAGTGAATGCCGTATGTTGTGTGAGAGGGCCAGTTTTTAGAACCGCCGTGGACTATCCCGGACGTGAATATTAGATGTACTGGACATTCCGTCATCAAGAAAATACAATTTTACTCTGGACTATTCCGAGTTACCAAAAACGTTTGTGTGTGTGTCCGTGTGTGAGCATTTCAAATCGTCTTTGTTTTATGTAACTTTACTTGATTTATTTTCGGATATACAAACTTCTACATTTATATTTCGTAAATTATCTTTTAAATAAATTTTCATCACAAGTTCACTTGTGTTAATAGACTGTTATACATAAGTTTAACTTGATAAAGTCTAAACTTTTAATGTAACATAAACATTGATCCCTCTACCAAAATCGTACTTAATGCATGGTTATGATGAGCAAAGGTGCTTCTTCTAAAATTGTGAAATTAATGGTCCCAGGGTCAGTGGTTTTGTTGGGCTCTATTCATTATTGTATAGTGAAAATGCATTAATTCTATAAAATCTTTAACTATGTGCATAATTATGATGAGCAATTGTACCTCTTACCAAATTTTGATTTTCATGGCCCCTCGCTCATGGGGTCTAGTGTTAGGGTGGGACTGCATTGAATCTATAGTAAAAATGCATTATTTCTTTGCAAACCTTCTTCTCTGCTCCAGGGTATCTAGGAGAAAACATAGTTCAAAGCTGTAATAATCAAGGGTATTTTTGCAGGTTTTTGAAACTCTGGACCACTTGCTCAAGTGTTCTGGTGCTGGACAGGGCTCTATTAATTTGTATTCTACTGAGAGATGTTATTCCCCTTTTCTATGCACCTTTGATAGTTAATCACTGTAACTGAAGATCAATTGAATAAGAGAGTTATACAAGATTTGTTATGATATATGATGCTAATAATATATCTATGGATCCTTTAACAGTGTTGTGTTATACTCCGGTGACCATTTAGGCCCTTGGTCGCTTTTCTTTAATACCCTGTGTGTTCCGAGTCCTGATCTGAAACTTTGTTTGAGCCTTCGCGCCCAGACCCGATTCTAAACACTGGATTTCAGACACCCGTTTATAATTTGCTCCTTTATCAATAATAGGAATGACACCCAAATGGTAATCACTGCAAATGAGTAATCACAAATACCTTATCTCGAGACGTGTCTTCCATCTTGGACTCTCGTCGACAGTATCCCCTTTAAAACCTTTTAATAAGCTTCTCGGGATCAGCTGAACCAATTTCAACCAATTTTGGTATAAAACATCTGTTATTTATAGGGAACGAAAATTGTGAATTTCAGTGGGTCTGAGGTGTAAGGCAACACTATAAAATCCAAGGCATCCTTCTAAAATATTCTATATTCTCTACATTTAGCTGAAAAATTGTTAGCCTGATTATAATAAGCCAGGAGTCAAGTACTAAATTTGTGAAATTCGTGAGTCCTAGGTTTAGGCTCCAGTGTGGGGATACATTGCATACGTAATGTTAAAGGCAATATATCTTCTCTTTACTTTTAGACATCTAGCAAGCAATCTGTTTACCATAAGTTTTACCAAAGTTATGAAATTTATGGCCCTGGTTTCTGACTTCAGAGTGGAGCTAATTTGGTCATACATCTTTATTGGGAAAAAAACATTACATTTTATTAAATCGTCTTTACTCATGGACATCTAGCATGAAAACTGAACATGATAGTAATGAATACTTAATCATTTACTTAAATTGTGAAATTCATAGCCCCTGGGTCCATGGATGGCCTAAGGACGGGGCTTACATGTAGTTTAAAATATTTCACATCTTTGAAAGTTTTCTTGGGCATTTAGCAAGCAGTATATTTTAGGATATTAAATACTTAGCCTTATATCAAATCGTGAAATTTATGTCCCCTCCATGGGTTCAGGTGTAAGGGGTGGACAAAAATGGTCATATATTGATACATATTAATACATCTTTGAAAAATCTTCTTCCTTATTACTGGACAAATACATGTAGTAAGCCAAAAGTCCAAATGATTATAGTGAGCAATAATTCTTTTATAAAAATTTCTGTGTTCCCAGAATCCAATGTTCAGGCCCTAAAGCGGGATTTAGTTGTCATGCATTGAAAATACATTTCATGTACATCCTCGAGAATCTTTTCTTCTTCTTCTTCTTTTTTTTTTTTTGAGAGAGAATAAAAAGTAGGCAAACCGCTTATATAATTACAATGAATACAAATTCATGACCACACAGTGGGAATAAATCGGTCATATACTAGTAAGATATTTTAGAAAATCTATTTTTTTTTTCTCATGGACATCTAGCAGACAAGTTTTTTGAATGAATATGAATGAACAGCTAGCCCTATTAAAAATTATAGAATTGTCATATTGTAAATTTTGTAAATTTACCGGGTAGCAGTAAATACAAAATTTACAACATGACAAGTTCGTCATGTTTTAAATTTTGTATTTAATGCCACCCGGTAAATTCAAAATTTACAACATGACAGAATTCAAGTCCCCATAGGTCCTTATTGTACTAAGTATCTTACCATTTTTACACCAGACCATCTAGAGACAAAGTGCATGAATATGGTAATGATTAAATAGTTCTCACTAAACTTTTAAATTTTTGGTACATGAGGCTAGAGTTTAAATGATACTCAGGTGACCATTAAGACTCATTATTTCTTGTTCATGATATGAGAAAGTTCGACATTCCTTTGGTGCAGACAATAAGAAAAATCAGACAAGAAATTAATTTATTTTTATTTAGCTGGTATCTGAAACTTAAGATCTTTGGAAGCATATTTGTAAAACGTATTAAAAAAATATCATTTGAAATACAGTAAAACAATGAAATGACATTCTTTTTCATGAGAACATATCCAAATATTTGCTTTTTAAACTGTATAATGTGTCATTCCACAACTTAAACTTGCAACACGACAAAATTGACGACAAATAATTTTCTACATGTCTAAGGAAGAAATAATTTTCCATATAAGTTGAAAATGTACGGTAGCTATAAACATCCTATAATATTCTTAAAATGTCTCCACAACATTCACAGTCTGTTCCTACTCAGATCTATCCCAAACTCTATTAACTCAAGCAAGTATGAATTATTAAAAAAAAAGTCTCATGAAAAAGCAAGCACTATTTGAAGATCAATACATGAACAGTACAACATAGATGTAGAATTAAATATCACATTCTGTTAGACACTTAAAATATCTATGTACATAAGGTCCCAAATTGTGAAACGTGGGCGAAAAAAATCTAACCCGTCCCCATTGTGGCTATAGTTCTCGCCAAGAAAACTAGAGAATTTTCATAAGCCAATCGTTGTGGCTGTAGTGCATTTATTTAATCTTTGTCATCCCAATTTTCTACAGAATTTTACCCTTAATGCATTTGAATATGGAGAAATTTTGAAATAACCTAAATTTCTGTGATTTGAACGGTTATCGTGCATTTGAGATAGCTGTTTTCGCTTTAAGTAAACATCTTTCTAGAAAATATTTCAGTATATTTTTATTTGCTTTATTTGAGATTTTTCATGCTATCATAATTTTCAACGTCTGTATCACCAGAACTGAAGACTTGATTAGTGTGGCTGTACACGTCATTTCCTGTTGCTGGATTCACAGAGCCATATTCATTGTCGTTAATAATCGTTTCTTTTTGAGAATTTCTATATGTTGAATCGTAGAAATTATCCTCCGATTTTTCTTTCTGAGGAGCAGTTGTGTGATCGTACATATTTTCCTGTTCGTTGTGTACACTCTGACGTGACGTACTGTTTACTGTATGGTCGTAGGTGTCGTCAGTACCGGTTTGAACTAGTGCTCCGTTCAGACCAGTAGCACTTTCTTGGCGGGACTTGTCGACAATACTATACGCAACACCGGAACTATGACGGTTTACTTTATTGATATTTTTTTGTTGAAATCTGTCAAATATAAGCAAGTAGATATATATATAGCTATAGTAAAATACTTGCCAAACTAATAGAGTCAAAATACTTTATAATAACGATAAAATACATTACCAGTAAAAAGAACATGTGAACAAATCATCTTTAGATGTAAACATTATAACATTGGTGAACATTCAACGCATGAGCATATTGCTTTCTCTCTACATATGAAATATTTAACAATGATTGATAGATAGATAGATTAATAGATGATAGATAGATATGGAACAAGAAGCCCCCCGTGTATTCAATATTATATAAATATTGCATGTAGCTGAGTGTAACAGAAATTTTTCACCCCAAGAAAACCATTGTCAACCGAGGCGCAACCGAGGTTAACACTGGTTTTCGAGGGGTGAAAATTTTCAATGTCACACTCAACTACATGCAATATTTATTATATTATACTGAATGTTTTATACAAATACATATTAAATTGAACCTTGCGCACATAAATTCTGTCAGTATTTTTTGGAATAACACCTGTCGTCAAGCAATGTTGACTGTTGCTGCGCTGGAGGGCGTTGCTTCATTATTCAGCGGATAGTAGTGTTTTTATGCCCCCGGATCGAAAGATCCCGGGGGTATATTGTTTTTGTCCTGTCTGTCTGTTTGTCTGTTTGTTTATCTGTTGTCTGTCTGTCTGTTGTCAACTTTAACCTTGCCCATAACTTTTGATTGGTTGGAGCTATGACTTTCATATTTCACATGTGTATTCCTTGTGACAAGACCTTTCTTTGGGTACCATCATATTTGACCTTTTGACCTTGACCTTGGAGTTTGACCCACTTTTGCAAAATTTTATGAGACTTTAACCTTGGCCATAACTTTTGAACAGTTGGTGCTTAGGGTTTCAAACTTCACATGTATGTCCTTGTGACAAGACCTTCCTCTGGATATCAACCACTTTGACCCTTTGACCTTGACCTAGGAGTTTGACCTACTTTTGAAAAACTTTAACCTTGGCCATAACTTTTGAATGGTTGATCTAGGGCTTTCATACTTTACATATGTAATCCTTGTGACAAGACCTTCCTCTGGATATCAACCACTTTGACCCTTTGACCTTGACCTAGGAGTTTGACCTACTTTTGAAAAACTTTAACCTTGGTCATAACTTTTGAATGGTTGATCTAGGGCTTTCATACTTTACATATGTAATCCTTGTGACAAGACCTTCCTTTGGATACTAACCACTTTGACCCTTTGACCTTGACTTAGGAGTTTGACCTACTTTTGAAAAACTTTAACCTTGGCCATAACTTTTGAATGGTTGGTGCTAGGGCTTTCATACTTCACACATGTAATCCTTGTGACAAGATCTTCCTTTGGATACCAACCACTTTGACCTTGACCTTGACTTTTATTTAAAAAACTTTAACCTTCGCCATAACTTTTGAACAGTTGTATCTAGGTCTTTCAAATTTCACAGGTGTATTCCTCGAGACAAGACCTTTCTTTGGGTATCAACATTTTTTATCTTTTGGCCTGGATTTTGACTTGCATTTGAAGAAACTTTAACCTTCGCCATAAGCTGCCATACGGGGGCATCAGTGTTTCACAAACACATCTTGTTTAACAAATGTTTCTCGAAGAATCAGATTCAACTTATTTACATGAAAGTATAATATAAATGCTTATTATTTTTGGCAGTAGTTGGAGAAATGATATCCCCGTAGCTGGTATTCCATAGGACAGAACATTTTATGCAAATTAAACACGGAAGAACAAATACTGTACCAACCTTCTATAAACTACAATTAAGACTATCAATAAAATGATAATTACTCCAGCCGCTGCACCCCCTACAATAGGCGGTATGAGATTATCTGAAAAATAATTACAAATCATGATTGTATTGTAACTGCCATAGTTGTATATTTCAAGTGAAAATCAATAATTATCTCCACCTTTAAACTGGAAAGGGCTAAGACACATATGCCCCTCAAAGTAAATAAACACTTATATTGTGTTTTATTACAAGAAAATAAAAGAAAAATGTCATAAATAAAAGCAATCAAAATCCTTTTTTTTTCTAAATCAGTCTATTGTATATAGAAATTCACTGGATTGGATTCGCATTTAAAGAAGATTCGTGATTAAATTCTTTCTCTGATAGATTACTCTTCGCTATATTTGGTGTTCAAGATACTAGTTTAAAAATATAGAATTAAGACTCATTAATTCAGATTCTTAAAATCATCGGAATTTTAAGATTCATGCCAATTTTGAATTATGGTATTTTTTTCTATTGAATCAACTGTACCCACCATTAGGCGTGGTATCCTGTTCAGCAGGCAATACAGGGGATGTCTGAGGATAAGGGACGGGGGTACTCTGGGGTATTAGTTTCGTAGTAACTATGGTAGTAAAATCTGAAAAATTTGTGACTTCAATTGAGGTTGTCTCACCTTCAGTTGTAGTGAGTGGAGTAGAAGACACGTGAGTAGGATCTAGAAAGAGCACAAAGAAATTCTGTGTCTGTTTCTAGACAATCTAATGCGTAGAGTCTAGAAAAGACACCAATAAAACAGAGATTTATGGGGAAAAAAAGCAGTTCATAGTATGAGATATTTTTGAAAAGATAATAAATATCATAATTAAAAAATCGAATCTGTTCAAATTCAATTGCATGCATTGGGAAATGTTTTAAGTGTAGAATCTTTGCAAGCAATGTAGGAAAACGTGAATGAAAACTTGTGGTACATGTATTGTTTTGACATTCTAGGTACATGAAAGAAATAGAATAATTTTAAACAGAAACATACTAAATAAATGATTAATTTTATTCAACAATAACACTCAAATGTCCTAAATGAATTTTGTAATTGTTATGACATTCTAGGAAGTAAAAGTGATTAAATTAAATTATAGAGAGAACTAGATGCTGTCATAAGACAGTCATACCCGCACATAAATTGCTCCCTTGTACCTGAGTAGCGAAGAAGCTACAGATTATTCTATAATTTATACTAGAGTGTTCCAAGAACGCATGTGTCGCCTGCTTTATAGCTTCATTAAAGATATAAATATATCTAAGTGGTCAGCTATTTATTTACTATTAACACAATAGGTCATATATTTGTCTGCAAAGAAAAAAAGTATGACTGCGATAAAATCTAACAATCAAAGAAATTATGGGTCCCAAACCCTTAAATAGATAATTGAAATAATTAAAAATAATTATTTATCATTTTATTAAGGACCCTCTATACACTGATGAAAAATGTGTTTTAGACTTTGAAAATTTTATATAGCATAAAGGAGGATGTTTTAAAATTAACTTATTCATTCTTAATAGGGAGCGTGCATTTTTTATCCAGAAAAATCTTCAACGACAATAAAATAACAAAAAAGTAAAATGCTTTTGCTTACTCAGATGGAGAAAATACATGCAAATGAAGATTTCAAATACTCTGTCTTGGTCTAATATAATGTTTAGAATACTTGGATTTATTTTAAGTTATGTCATACAGTGCAGATTAGAATTTATGTCAAATGGTGGTTCAGTCTAACTACACAAAAGTACCCTGAAATTAGAATAAAGTATAGAGAGGGTCCTAAATACGTGTTACCAACAATCCTCCAAAAGAGATTTACTGCATTTGTCAGTTTACACAATCCATTGTGGGATACCGATCACGATGTATTTTCATAGTATTTTAAAAATGTAAGTTTTGTGGTAACTGAATATTAAACATTTTCAAAGTACAGTATAATGAGCTCATAACATGTGTAAATGCTATCAAGACACTGCCTTTCAAAATTCAAAAGTCATAAGTTAGATTAAACTGCCCAGGGTATTTTTTGCAAAGTAGGTCAAAGGTCAAGGTCAAGTGGATTGTAACGCTGGTATTTTTCTTATTTTACGACCAACAGTGCACATGCTAAACAGCATTAACTTACCCCTTAAATGTCAAAAATATGCTGTATATCGACAGTGTGAACGATTTTTAAAAGTAGGTCAAAGGTCAAGGGTCAGGAGGTTGATAACTTTGGTAACCCATAGTATCAAGCAATGAATGTGCAAAATATCAAATCCAAATATCCTACAGTTCTCGAGATAAAAGGTGTGACAGACAGACAGACGCCGGATAAGTGATCCCTAATATAAGTGTCACTCTGCTCTGCAAGCGACACAATAAAATATGTAAACATTAATTAAATTGAGCATAAAATGCACAGGTGAGTATATGATTATGGGCCTTATGTTAGTTTTTCAAATAAATATTTATTACCGGTCTGAAATTAAAGATTTTCTTGAAAACATCATTTTTGACCCCCATTTGACCCCTAGGGTGAAAATGAAAATTGAGATGGCTCCTGCGTAAAATCTAAGAGGAATACTGGAAATCAGATTTTTGTAAAATGAACAAGAGGCTTATGGGCCAAAATGCTCAACTGAGTCAATATGGACTTACTGTTCTTCATCAGTAGATTTTTTCCAAATAATTCCTATATAAAACTTTGATTGCCTATTTTGGCCCTACCATACCCCCGGGAGTCATAATTTAAACAAATGAATGAACACTACATGAAGATGCTTCTATATTAATATGAGTAATCATGCTTTTGCCATCTTCATTAGAAGATTTTTAAAGATTTTTTCCTTTGTTAAATTTTTTTCACCTAATGTGGCCCGACCGTACTCCCGGGGATCATGTTTTAAAAAGAAACTTCAATCTACATTACCTGAGAATGCTTCCAGATATCAATATGACTACAATTGTTTTCATGCCTCTGCTTTATATTCTTATGTTAAACTCTGATTCCCACTTTGACCCAAATCTCCATCGGGGGCAATATTCGAACAAACTCGAAACTACACTATGTAATAAAGCTTTTATATAGGATTCAACTCTTCTGTCTCAGTGTTTCTTAGGGAGATGGTTTTTAAAGATTTTTAGGTTACCAGAGTCACTCAGGTGACCTATTGCTATCTGTTTTTATCTGTCGTCGTGCGTTAACATTTAAACATTTTCAACTTCTTCTCTGGAACCGCTAAACCAATTTCAACCAATTTTAACTTTAGATCTCCATATGAGTGAAAAATTCTCGAGAGGGACGTTAAACAACATACAAACAAAAATTTTAGAATCAAAGGGGGGAAGGGGAACAAAAATTTTGAATTTCATGGTCCCTGTCCCCCAGGGTCCTGAGGGGTTGGGCCAAAACCACCAAAATTAATGCAACATTCTTATTTACCCCTGGACATCAAGTAGTTAAACTGTTGTCATAATTGTAATAAGCATTGAGCCCTCTACCAAAATTGTGAAATTCATGGCCCCTGGGTCAGGGGTTCTGGTGTTAGGGCGAGGTTCTATTGATTATGTAGTAGAAATGCATTAATTCTTTGAAAATTTTCTTCTCTGCTCCTGGGTGTTAAACAAACTAACTAAGTACATATGATGAGCAAGGGTGCATCTTCAAAATTTGTGAATTTCATGGCCCATGGATCAGGGGTTCTAGTGTTAGGGCGGGGCTCTATTGATTGCATTCTTTGAATGTCTTCTTTTCTGCTCCTGGCTATTAAACTAACTAAGCCCCACCTTAAAATATTTTTGTTTGCAGTTGCCAACCTATAACTTTTTAGAAGCAAAGAAGAAAATTGTCAAAGAATAAATGAATTTTCACTATATAATCAATAGAGCCCCGTCCTAACACCAGAACCCCTGACCCAGGGACCATGAAATTCACAATTTTAGAAGAGGCACCCTTGCTCATCATAACTACGTCTATATACTTAGTTCATGTGGCAAGTTTGGTTGAAATTGACCCAGTGCTTCATGAGAAGAAGTCGAAAATGTAAAAAGTTTACAGACTGACAGACAAACGGACGCCAGACAAAATGTGATCAGGAAAGTTCAATTGCGCCTTCGGCTCAAGTACCGTTCACGGTAGCTCAGTCGGTAGTGCGCTCGCTCTGTGATCGGGAGGTCGTGAGTTCGAATCTCGGCCGCGACAGACCTAAGTCGATAAAAAATGGGTAGCAACTGTTCCTACGCCATGCGCTCGGCACTTTGAAGTGAACGTTGCGGGTCCTTCGGATAAGACCTTAAAAACCGAGGCCCCGTGTCACGGCAGGCGTTGGCACGATAAAGATCCCTCACTGCTCAATGGCCCTGAGTGCCGAGTAAAGGTCAAAATTTGAAGCCCTTCACCGGTATATGGTGACGTCTATATATGAGTGAAAAATTCTCGAGTGGGACGTAATAACAACATACAATCAATCGGCTCAGGTGAGCTAAAACGTCATTTTTGGACACCCATTTGGCCCCGAGGGTTAGAATGAAACCTTATTGCACATATACAGTACACCCATCGTCGCAAACCACGGTTTTGAGTCCATGTGGTGATAGAGAGAATCTATGTGAAGCACCCGTGGGTTGCCGACGATGCAGTACACCCCAAATCATCTTGCAAAAGATGAAGTGATTACTGGGTAAAATGTATGAGTTCTGGGAACCAGATTCATGTTAAAAGATTTTTTTTCGACTCTTATTTGACCCCCAGAGTGAAAAACAAAATTCCGAAACCTTATTGCACATCTACAGGACACCATCATTCATCTTTCAAAAGATGAATCGGTTACTTCGTATACCGTAAGATGAATTACAGGAAGAAGACAGACGGACTGACCAGGATAACAACAATATACCCGAACTATCTTTAGAAAATGCGGATATAATAAACATTTAACAGAACGATACTAATGTCTGCTTTTATTAAACAATAACACTCAAATGTCCTAAATGAATTTGAACATCTCTAAAAACTTAAAACCAGTTAATTTCATACCTGATCCTTCACACAGAGAAGGGAGTGAATCATTGCAGTTTTTGACATGGATTTGTACACCGCTCTTTGCCAAGTTGTTTTTGCTAATAGCTAAACACTCATACGGATCTGTGATAAAATCTGTAAAATTGTATAGATTATTATATATTTCAAATATCTATTTCATACAAATTAAATGGCTATAATACATTTTTGTTGACAATACCAAGGTGTTAATTTAAAAAATAAATACATATATGTTTTTTTTTAAATGTACTCGTATATAGTCCAGCAGGTGTGTAGTATGAACAAAGTACTTTTCTTATTTGGTTCCGACAAGTGCAAAGTTCGTGTTGTTGTGATGGGTTACCTGTTCAAAATCTAATAGAAGGCGAGCATAATTAAGGTACTTTATTCGCAATTGGATTCATTATGGCAATAGGGTGTATCTAACTCTACTAAGTCTCTATAAACTCCAGTGAATATTAATGACTTTTTTCATTCATAAACAAAGAAGAAAACAGGAATAATCGTTCTAAGGTGCGAGTATATAAAATCTATATCGAAGTTTGGGTGTTTTTAAAGCAACTAGGTTTTTAAATTCATATCCCTGATACCGGTGTAAAACTTTTAGACCATTAAATCCACCCCATCAACGTTTCAGGAATCGTAACTTGAACATACGTGTACTTAATAAACACTGCATGAAGCTTCTTCTGGCAAATTGCAGTCTTGCTGTTCTTTGAAAGCTTTTAAGATAAACTTTAGCATTTTTTCAAGGATATTTTTTTTTGGCAAGTGTGATTGAAATTATTTCAGTGGCTCCTGATTTTAAGTTCCAAAAATGCGAATACCAGTCTAGTAGTTTAAGACAATAGACGAACGATGAACAATATTTGGTAAGAAAAGCAAACTCTAAGATTTCTAATCAGTATGCTAAATCTGATATGCTTAAAAATACAATATTATCATGTCTTCAAAGTACCTAAAGGAAATTCTTATTCAAATTTTATTTCAATACGTACAGCGTTTATCAGTCTTTTTTTTTTTTTGGGGGGGGGGGGGCATTTGGATCATTGGATTTTGCCAAAGCTCACTGTTAATTACGTTTTTATTTATCTTTGCTAATATAGTACTATCGAAGGCAATGTCATTGTCTATTTTATTACAGGCCAATTAGAAATTAAAATTGTATGGATTTAAAATAATATCTATGTAGATACAATAGATCTGCAAGACTCAACAACTCCACTTATAGATGACTATAAAAGTTGTAGTAAAAACTAGTGAATGTCGATATACCAATTATACCATTGCTCCATTGTTTTATACTTCGCCTTGATATTCCTGTCCATGCCTTTGTATTATTTGACGGAGGATTTGACAGAGGGTAAAAGCCATCAAAGGATCCTTTCAAAATACCTTTACAGTTTAACACAGCGTCGGTCCAGTTTTTACTTTCTGTCTTTAAGGTGTCTTGTTGCCCAGTACCTACAAAACTCAGTGGGTTTTTATTCTAAACAGTAACTTTTTAACCCAAAATGCCTCCCCTTATCATCTTTATCATCTACATGTTTAATTATTTTTTGTCAAATGATATACAAGTTGTCAAAAAGTCGTGTAGACATTTGCACTCTGCCATTTAGATTGATTGATTGATTGTATGTTGTTTTACGTCCCATTCGAGAATTTTTCACTCATATAGAGAGGTCACCATATACCGGTGAAGGGCTTCAAATGATGACCTTTACTCGGCACTCAGGGCCATTGAGCAGTGAGGGATCTTTATCGTGCCAACGCCTGCCGTGACACGGGGCCTCGGTTTTTAAGGTCTCATCCGAAGGATCCGCAACTTTCACTTCAAAGTGCCGAGCGCATGGCAAAGGAACAGTTGCTACCCATTTTTTATCGACTTAGGTCTGTCGCGGCCGAGATTCGAACTCACGACCTCCCGATCACGGAGCGAGCGCTCCACCGACTGAGCTACCGTGAACGGTCTGCCATTTAGAAGATCAGACTCTTAGAAAACTTGCCCTGGGTAAAAATTTAAATAATTTGCATAGGTCTGGACGATTTCTATGGAAGTCAAGAGCGGTATCTGAAAGGTGTTATAGATATACTTTATATTTTTCTGCCCAATCAGAAAACAGCATCTTCAACATAGGCGCTTGGTTTCAGGATGGTGTATTGTGTGTTTTTCTATGTCTGTATAAATACACTCATTAAATTACAGATTAAAATCGCTGAAATTAGCATTTTTATAAAATATATATATTTCTGTATATAAAGCATGTAAAGGGCACAAAGTTCGCAACTCGCCGTGGCGATGCCTTGGTTCACACTTGATTTTATCTATCGTCTGCCGATTTGCACTTGCCGTATAAAACATGCAGTAAACCAAACGTCCTCGATTACTAGCACTGATACTGAAAGCAACGGAAGTGATGATTTCTAACTAGGCCTACTGGTATGTAAAGTCTAACTACTGGTATGTAAGTGTAGAGACGTCCCGGAATTTCAGGGAAAGTCCAAATGGAATAAGTTAGGCGAGGTTTCTTTCCTTGAAATTCCGGGACGCCTCTACTATTTTTTTTTATTTTACACAAGATTTTTAGAAGTAAGATGAAAAGTTTGAAAGAATAACGAATGGCCCACATATTTTCCGAGAACAAAATGAGCCTTTAAAACCATTTCCAAAACAAATTTATTTTTTGAATTTTGTTGAAAAATAAAAAGTTATGATTATTATTTTTGTTTTCATTTTTTCACATCTTGAAACAAAAAGCGTTGCCATTTATTAAAAAATCAAAGAGACAAATCTACTGAGCTGCGATGCTTTATTTAATGCAAAGTACTTTAAGACATTTATATAAACAAAAAATATGTACTTAAATTGTTTTTTAGTGTAAAATCACTTGAAAAGGGTGAATCCAAAATAATAATGATGATGACTAGACACATAATTTTAACCTGCACTAAAAATTCAGACTGCGTGAATAAATTACTATACATGTAGCTCAGCATGTATCGTTTGATACCTGGTAAATGCCTGTCAAATATTTCATTTACGATACTGATAATTTTAGAAAAAACACACTTGCTCATCATAATCCTGCGCTAAGTTTATCTGCTAAATACATGTACCCGGGAGCAGAAAAGATTTCCAAAGAATAAATGCATTTTTACTATATAATCAAAAGAACCCAACCCTAACACAGAAGATCTGACCCTGGGACCATGAAATTCACATTTTAGAAGAGGCGTCCTTGATCATCATAACCATATATCTAATTTATCTGCTACATGTAAATCCCCAGAAGCAGAGAAGTAGTAATGCATTTTTACTATATAATCAATAGAGCCCGGCCCTAACATCGAACCCCTGACCCAGGGGCCATGGAATTCAAAAGTTTGGATGAGGCATCCTTGATCATCATAACCATGTATTTAGTTTATCTGATAAATACCCATAGGAGCAGAGAAGAAGATTTTCAAAGAATAAATGCATTTTTCACTATATAATAGGGATGGCAACGAATATTCGAACATTCGAATATTCATTCGATGAGTTGATATTCGAATATGAATTTAAGATTCGAATATTCGGTGTTTTTCAGATTTCATAAAAAGAAGTACTGTGATTTATAAATTTTGATTAGAACATTGATGGAATCATCCGCGTTTAATTTACTAGCGATCAATTTCGATCGCCTGATTTCCTTCACTACTTTCTGATCTTATAGATCGAATAAATTATTTTGTTCTGAGTAAGGTGTTAAAGAATTATAAATTAATGCTTTATATATAATACAAAACGTACTTTCATATTTTTTATTAGTTAAATACCATCGGATCTAAAATCGAGGACAACAAAATGAAAACCTTCTTAGAATGTCTAAAAGACGTGAAGAGTATATTTATCAAAATAAATTTAATTGATCATTGAATGAATGACCGATAGAATTAGTCTGTAATTACATGTAATATTATAAAGGGCTCAATTTCAGAATAAATGTGTAAATTACTTGATTATCTTGGGTTGTACATAATCTTCAATTTTATATTCATTATCGAGAAATTAGTTAACCTGTTAATTACCTAGGAATATTGTCGATGGAAATGTTTGTTTATACTTTAAAAACATTGTATCACAGATTATAAACATATCTCTTATTAGGCTGATAATTGTAATTAATTATACCTATTGAAATCTGAAAAGTATACGACTATCCTGCCTCTGATAAGACGACTGGTTCCTAAGTTGGGGCTACTATTTAAAAACAAGTGTACCATTTGTTACAATTATACTTTTCTACATTTAAATCAAATATTTATTTCAAACATTGACAAATATCAAATGGAATTCCTTATTGTACATCTACAAAAATCTTTATACAATTTTACTTCCAATATAGTATACCTACGCTAAACCTTTCATGAAAGTAGGATGATGCATAGTTAAAATAAACCAGATATTATTCATTTTATCGAATATATTAGAATACTTTTATTGAATATTCGAATATTAATTATTGACAAAATTGACATCAATACTATATAATCAATAAAGCCCGCCCTACCTCCAGAACCCCTGACCCAGGGGCCATGAAATTAACAATTCTGGAAGAGTCATCCGCCGTTTGCTCTATAGAGTCGCGGTGTAAGGAGTAGATCCTTACGTCGCAGGTTCGGATCCACTGCGGGACGTGGAGACCGGTCCTTCGGATGAGACCGCATAAACCGAGGTCCCGTGTCGCAGTAAGTGTTGGCACGAAAAAGATCCCTCCATGCTCAATAGACCTGAGTCCCGAGTATAGGTCAAAATTTGCAGACCTCCACCGGCAAGTGGTGGCGTCTGCATATGAGTGAAAAATTCTCGAGAGGGACGTTAAACATCAAATAAATAAACAAACAAAAATAACTGTGCAGTAGTTTGTTTCCTAATACGCGGGAGCGGAGAAATGATTTTCAAAGAAATAATGCATTTCCACTATATATTCAATTCCCCCACACCACCAACGCCAGAACCCCTGACCCTGGGGCCATAAATTCACAATATTGAAAGAGGCACCCTTGCTCATCATAACAATGAACCTAGTTTATCTGTTACATATAGGAAGAGAAGATTTTATAACCATTTATGCATTTTCATTATATGATCATTAGGGCCCAACCCTAACTTCAGAACCCCTGAATTTGGGGCCAAGATTTTCACAATCTTTGGTAGAGGGCTCAATGCTCATTATAATCATGGCAACAGTTCAATTTTTTATTTCCAAGAGCAAAGAAGAAGATTTTTAAAGATCGTAATAATTTTGATGGTTTAAGTCCCACCCTTCAGGCGTCAGGAGAGCGGAGACCATGAAAGAACTGCGAACGATAGTATTGTTCTCCCGCATACCTCCAAGTCAATTTTCAAAATGTAACACATTTGAACTATTTTTTATATTTATAATAGACATTTTTATGAATTTTCATAAAACATTACTTATTTGGGAAAACAAAGAAAGATAACTCTATAATTTTGGTAAAACTTGTGTTTTTCACTATAGAAATCAACTGAAAACGGAAAATATTTTTAAAACATCCCCCCCCCCCCCGTGAAACAAAAATTTTTTTTTTCAGATAATATGGAGGGGGGGGCATATGTTTACAGATAAAAAAAAACAGTAAAAATGGTCATTTTACAACCAATTCTGAACGAGATAGCAAGTTAAAAAATGAACTTTATCAATCTTATACTTTGAATTTTACATAATTTTAACAAACGGAAAGATTTAAGGGTCATTTATCCATTTCCGTGCATATTTGAAACTTTGGTGATGTTTTATAGCCTGATTTCAATGCATAAAATTTTCTAACCCCCTTATGAAAACAGTTGTAAAAAAAAAAAAGGATTTAACTTTTTGACGCTGGTTTTAAAGTTATTAATCAGTTACTAATGAACTATTCTTTGCATTCAAACAAAAAAGTTTTAATGGCCAAAATGCCATTTATACTGATTTAGATGGGTATAAAATGTAGGCGGGAATCGATTTAGCGTGCGTAGTTCTTCATAAAATTTGTTCCCCTTTACTCATAGATGCTATATGCCAAAATTGGTTGAAATTTGTTCAGCGGTTCCAGAGAAGAAGCTAAAAATGTTCAAATGTTAACGGACGACGCCAGACTAAAACAGATACATGTAGCAACAGGTCAACTGTGTGACTCAGGTGACCTACATACATGTATTATTTTTATCTTAAGGAATAAAGATGTGATAAATCTTTAAAAATGCCGTTACAAGATGAAGGATAAAATGTACAGTTAGTAAGGAAACGTCTTTGATTAAACTTGATCAGTTGATATATGTTACTTTGATTGTCCCCCGCTTTCACTGAAAGTGGGGGATATTAATTTGGGTCTGTCTGTCCGTCCGTCCGTCTGTCCGTCCGCCTGTATTTCTGACTGTCTGTAACACTTTCGTTTCCGCGCGATATCTCGAGAAGCCTTTGGGCTTTTGAATTGTTGCTTAGCAACTCCCTATGGCCTAAGGAAGAACCCTATTTATTTTGAGGTCAAAAGGTTAAAGGTCAAGGTCATAAATTAAAAAAATTCTGTCTGTTTTAACACTTTCGTTTCCGCGCGAAATCTCGCAAATTCTTTGAGCTTTTGCAATGAAATTTTACGTAGCAACTCCCTGTGGCCTAAGTAAGACTCCTATTGATTTTGAGGTCAAAAGGTCAAAGTTCAAAGTCGTAAATTCATAAATTCCGTCTGTGTGTAACACTTTCGTTTCCGGGCGATATCTCAAGAAGCTTTTGAGCCTTTGCAATAAAAGTTTATACCATAACTCCCTATGGCCCCTCTTGCCCCTCTGAAAGTGTCATGCCCCGTTTTTTTTTAATTTATTAATTTATTTATTGTATTAAAAGTCGCTTGGCACTATTTTTAGCACAGGGACATGTGGAGAGTTATTACGTACATGTATAATACAGGTTGTCGGCGTACTTTATACTCTAATTACATCTATTAGATCTGTTTAGTAAAGGCTAAATTAGACAACATTTATTGTGTAAAATTTTGACAATATCAAACGTGAATATAAACATTATATGTGACTTTATCAAGTGCCTCCGTGGTCTAGTGGTATGTTGCTCGATTAGCAAGCGAGAGGCCCGGGTTCAATCCCCGAACGATTCTCTCTTTTTTGTCCCCCGCTTTCACTGTATTTCTGTCTGTCTGTAACGCTTTCGTTTCCGCGCGATACCTCGAGAACCCTTTGAGCTTTCGCAATAAATTTTGCATAGCAACTTTCTATGGCCCAAAGAAGAACCCTATTGATTTTGAGGTCAAAAGGTCAAAAGTCAAGGTCATAAATTCATAAATTCTGTCTGTTTTAACACTTTGGGGGATATTAATTTGGGTCTGTCTGTCCGTCCGTCCGTCCGCCTGTATTTCTGACTGTCTGTAACACTTTCGTTTCCGCGCGATATCTCGAGAAGCCTTTGGGCTTTTGAATTTTTGCTTAGCAACTCCCTATGGCCTAAGGAAGAACCCTATTTATTTTGAGGTCAAAAGGTTAAAGGTCAAGGTCATAAATTAAAAAATTCTGTCTGTTTTAACACTTTCGTTTCCGCGCGATATCTCGAGAATCCTTTGAGCTTTTGCAATGAAATTTTACAAAACAACTCCCTGTGGCTTAAGGAAGACCCCTATTGATTTTGAGGTCAAAAGGTCAAAGTTCAAGGTCGTAAATTCAATTCCGTCTGTGTGTGTAACACTTTCGTTTCCATGCGGTATCTCAGGAAGCTTTTGCAATGAAATGTTATACCATAATCCCTAGAGCCTCTCTCGCCCCTTCTCAAAGTGTCCGTTCTTTTTTAATTATTTATTGTATTAAAAGTCGCTTGGCACTATTTTTAGCACAGGGGCATGTCGAGAGTTATTACGTATAATACAGGTTGTCAGCGGATTTTATATTCTAATTACATCTATTAGAACTGTTTAGTAAAAACTAAATTAGACAACATTTATTGTGTAAAATTTTGACAATATCAAACGTGAATATAAACATTATGTCTTAATGTTTGCATTTAATTTGCTCTATACTCAAGTGCCTCCGTGGTCTAGTGGAATGTTGCTCGCTTAGCAAGCGAGAGACCCGGGTTCAATCACCAGACGATTCTCTTTTTTTTAATGGATTTACTAAATGATATTCAACATGTGAAATGAAAAAGATATGATGTCTAGCGTGTACAAATTCATAAAATCATTATTACAGTGTGATAAATATTCTGTATATAGTATATTAAAAAGAATCTTCTATACACATATTAAAGAATAAGCAATCAAATCTTTATATCCATATTGGCTTTTTTTTTAAATTTTCCTTCAATATAACAAATACAGGGGACAGTATGACCCCCCCCCCCCCCGAACTGCGCATGCTCTTCTTCTTTCCCTAAGCGGGGGACACAAATTCTCTGAATAAGCTTGTTAAATTTGATTTGCTGTACGTTGTCTTTTTTTCTTATTTTACTCACATATAGAAGGAAGCTCTGTATTGCAGGGAAGAAATTCGTGCGTCAGCCCTGGACCTCCTCCATTTTTCAAGATTACGGCCGCGCAGTCACCTTCCCCTGTTCCATTAATCAAAAGGATTTTTTTTTACATTAATATTCTTAATTATATCTTAAGTTTGTTTATGCAGTATCTGTCAATAATAGTGCCTTTAATTGAAGGGGCCTGGACACAGTTGCATTGTTTACAATTTTAAATGTCTATTTTTTAATCAAAAAATAACTTTTTTTTTAATGATTTGAACTTACATGAATATTCTAAAAATTCAGTGATAACGAAATTCTCCTTAACATCATGTCAAACTCCTGTGTTTGTAAACGGCACGAGTTCTGTTATTGTTAGTGTTCATGTTTTACCAGGTGTGTTCAATTTGTTTAGTCTGCACACATCACTGAGCACGGACTGACAATACTGGTGAGTTGGTTTTGCTTTCTTGCATTTCTACTCTGAACTTTCTGGATTATAGTTTTCATATTTTTCATTAATACATAACAAAATTTCTACTTTTCTCAGGTATTATGGATAAAGTTTACTTTGTGAAAGGGCAAGTATATGTGTCAATCAAATGCGTCCCGAAAATCGTAGTTTTTATCATTTCCAGATAAAAAAATTTTCTTAACACTCTTTTAATACATTTCGGTTTGAAATGCTCTAGCAACATGTACAAAAAGAAGAACATAAGAAGAATGTCCTTATTGTATTCTTAGAATATTCATGTTCAAATCATTAAACTGAAGTTATATTTTGAATAAAAAGACATTTAAAATTGTAAACAATGCAAATTTATGGAACGCCATAGCTGTCTTAAGGTATGGTACATAATATTACATGGTGTGTTCTGTATAATAAAGGGTTGATTCAATATATTAAATGGTCACCACTCCTTGTTAAAGGGTGAAGAGCACATAATACATGGTGCGTTCAATATAATAAACGGTCGATTCATTATGTTAAATGGTCACCACTACTTGTTATAGGGTGAAACGTACATAATAAATGGTGTGTTCAATATAATAAAGGGTCGGTTTATTATGTTAAATGGTTACTGCTACTCATTATAGGGTGAAACGTACATAATACATGGTGCATTCAATATAATAAAGGGTTGGTTCATTGTGTTAAATGGTCACCACTACTTATTTTAGGGTGAAATGTACATAATACATGGTGCATTCAATATAATAAAGGGTTGGTTCATTGTGTTAAATGGTCACCACTACTTATTTTAGGGTGAAATGTACATAATACATGGTGCATTCAATATAATAAAGGGTTGGTTCATTGTGTTAAATGGTCACCACTACTTATTTTAGGGTGAAACGTACATAATAAATGGTGCGTTCAATATAATAAAGGGTCGGTTCATTGTGTTAAATGGTCACCACTACTTATTATAGGGTGAAACGTACATAATAAATGGTGCATTCAATATAATAAAGGGTCGGCTCATTGTGTTAAATGGTCATCACTACTTATTATAGGGTGAAACGTACATAATAAATGGTGTGTTCAATATAATAAAGGGTCGGTTTATTCTGTTAAATGGTTACTGCTACTCGTTATAGGGTGAAAAATACAACATAAATGCTGCGTTCAATATAATAAAGGGTCGGTTTATTCTGTTAAATGGTCACCGCTACTTGTTATAGGGTGAAAAATACAACATAAATGCTGCGTTTAATATAATAAAGGGTCGGTTTACTATGTTAAATGGTCACCGCTACTTGTTATAGAGTGGAACATACAAAATAAATGGTAAGTATTGCATTACAAAAGATACGTCAAGTACATTACTTTGTGTGCAGCTAATTTCACATCGTTTCAAAAAAAAATATGATGACTTAAATGGTGTCTTTGGAAGGTTTAAAATGCCACACTCTTCTTTTGATATTCTTATTTTAATTTTGTGTGTCTGTATGTGTGTGTGTGTGGAGGGGGGGTACCCAAACTTAAAGAATAAGGGGGGATACGCAAACTCGGAAAATCTAGTTTAGTAAGGGTGTTAGGTATGGTCTAGGTCAGATTATTTATTTTCTCCCAAGTGGGAGACAGGTTATTTATTTTCAACATTTTCATGGACAGATTATTTATTTCCAAAATCTTCCAGGCCTCCCCTACCTCAGAATCAGTCATGTTGATCTGACACAATAAAATAAAACATCAATTAAGTATCGATGTAGGCCTGTGGTTCGAGGGGGAAGGGTGCACCGATTTGATTTAATATAAAAATTTTCATTCAAAGGCTGCTTGCTCCCCCCCCCCAATATTTTTGTAGCAGCATGGTTGAAATGTGTCCCACTTTAATGCATTGATTTAAGAAAATGTCGAAAAGTTATAGAAAGATACTACCCCCCCCCCCCCCCCAATAGGTTTTCGACTACCCTATAATTTTTTTAATGCTTGTCAATTTTTTTATCCCCCCTTTAAAAATGTTGCTATGGGCCTATGTGGCAAATTAAAAGCGTTGTATCCTGTATAGACACGACCCCTCCTCCAATTTCCACACATAATGCAAATGACAAAAAGGGGGAGGATAATTTTTATACGAAAGGTTGGAGAGGTGTGGTCTTTCCATAAACAATTTTTTTAACATAGAAAAATGATATTTTTACAGAGGAGGAAATATATTGTAATAAGTGACTGTGATGTTCCTTAGAAGACTACACATTACGTACGGCAAAAAGAAGATAACACTAAACTCTCCCTCCCCTTCCATCAGCCGTTCTTTTTTTTTCAATTGTACTTGATAACGATATACATTTAAAGATACGTGACATTTGTGTACTATGGACAAGTACTACAAAGAGTACTGATTCACATCACATTTCTTATAGAATTAAACGAAAACACAGAAGAATATTATGGAAAGTAAGGGGACGTCCATTTGATTTTGTGTTGTTAGGGCTGGGAGATTCTAGATATAAATTATACTAGTATTCCCCCACTGCGAAGAAAATAAATAAATGGACCTTGTTGGGTGGTACCACCCTGAAAATATAGAGTTTGGGTACCTCCCCGCAATGAAATATTTTTTGGCTTGTCAATCTTAATGAACATGAAGAGGAAAATTAAATCTGACCCAGATCACCTTTGAAATAAATTATCCGTCCTATACCAACATAAAAATAAATAATCTGACACTGAAAAATTTGCCAACGTCCCCCTTTCAGAATGAAATGGCCAACTCCTAAAATGTTCCGGGAAATATAGTTTTACGGTACGTTTCATTGATAGTTCGCACAAGACCTCAATGTATATTCAACATTTGCATAAGAGGTCGCAGCGCCCTCTTTCGTCCTAATTTCCTTAGAAAATTTCACCCGGATTACTCATTCTAACTTTCTTATTTTAACATTTTTACTATTACTTACTCTTACTTTCTAACTCCGCCTTACACGTTTTTTTACTGAAATAAAGGAAGGTGTATAAAATAAAATTTTGAAAGTTTCTTAAAGAATCAAGTGTCTTTGGAATATAATCTTTCAATTTCAGCCTCATAAAGTAAAAAAGAAGCTGTACGGTTTTTCCGGTGACCAAGTAAATATTGAAATGTAGAAAGTCTGTACAAAAGGTCAAAATGAAATGAAAAATTGAATTGGAAAAACAAGATGTTAGAACTAAGATAATAAATAAATGAAATATTAAAATAAAATTGGAAAATCAATAAATTAAAGTAAGAATACTAAAAGAGAACTGTGCCACGGAAATCCCTCCATAAACACCAGTTAATTGAATCATCATAGCTAACTTTTAATGTGTGTTTTTTGAAACCATGTGAAATTAGCTGCACACTGATTATATGTACTTAACGCATTTTTTTAAACGTGTTAATTTCTATTTATTACATGCATGTGCCTTTCACCCTATAATAAGTAGAGGTGACCTTTTAATACAGTAAACCTACCCTTTATTATATTGAACACATCATGTATGTACCTTTCACTCTATAACAAGGAGTGGTGACAATTTAACATACTAAACCGACCCTTTATTATATAGAACACACTATTTCTTATACTCCCTTAACCGTATGACAAGGGGCTGTGATCATTTAACATAATGAACCAACCCTTTATTAAATTGAACGCGCCATGTATTATGTACGTTTCACCCTATAACAGGTAGCGGTGACCATTTAACATAGTAAACCGACCCTTTATTATATTGAACGCACCATTTATTTGGTACATTTCACCCTTTAACAAGTAGCGCTGACCATTTAACATAATGAACCGACCCTTTATTATATTGAACGCACCATTTATTATGTACGTTTCACTCTTTAACAAGTAGCGGTGAACATTTAACATAATGAACCGACCCTTTATTATATTGAACGCACCATGTGTTAAGTACATTTCACCCTATAACAAGTGGCGGTGACCATTTAACATGGTTAAATGATCCTTTATTATATTGAACGCACCATTTATACACCCTTCACCCTATAACAAAGAGTGATGACCATTTAACATACTAAACTGACCCTTTATTATATTGAACACACCATGTATAATGTATTTTTCACCGAATAACAAGTAGTGGTGACCATTTAACATAATGAATCGACCGTTTATTATAGGAGTGGTGACCATTTAATATATTGAATCAACCCTTTATTATACAGAACACACCATGTAATATCATGTACCATACCTTAAGACAGCTATGGCGTTCCATACAAATTTGTCCAGGCCCCTTAAGGACATTGGCAAGGTCCCTGGTTATTGTATAGTATTTTTCAAGAACTTTTGAGTAGGTTTAAATGTACTAAACAGGTTATATTCTGGATCGTTTTACCTACCAATCCAACATTCTTTTTTAGATTTTGTCAAATTAGTGTTTTTACAATTCTTAATGCATTTCCTATATAAAATGTTGATTAAAGGGATTTACATAATTTTTTTTACCATAATATTTCTTCAAAAGCCATTTATTTCGTACAGTTTTTGTATTATATACATTATTGTATCTTCATTTCCTATGACTTCTAGATATTTCGGCTGAAAATGTATATACAGAGACAAGACATGGATATATTGGCACCGACAATCATTTT